GTGTGTCACGTACCAAACAAAACCAGGTCACTACGACCTTTATTTGACCTTTACCTTGACCTTGATTATATTTCCCTTCTGCTCTATAACTCGGCCCCTAATTGACCTAGCGCTACCAAACTTGGTATACTTACACATCTTGGGAAGAAGGTGTGTCACGTACCAAACAAAACCAGGTCACTACGACCTTTATTTGACCTTTACCTTGACCTTGATTATATTTCCCTTCTGCTCTATAACTCGGCCCCTAATTGACCTAGCGCTACCAAACTTGGTATACTTACACATCTTGGGGAGAAGGTATGTCGCGTACCAAAACCAGGTCACTACGACCTTTATTTGACCTTTACCTTGACCTTGATCATATTTCCCTTCTGCTCTATAACTCGGCCCCTAATTGACCTAGCGTGACCAAACTTGGTATACTTAAGCATCTTGGGGAGAAGGTGTGTCGCGTACTGAAACCAGGTCACTGCAACCTTTATTTGACATTGACCTTGACCTTGACCTTCATATTTCCCTTCCACTCCATAACTCGGCCCCTAATTGACCTAGCGCGACCAAACTTTGTATACTTACACATCTTGGGGAGAACACGGGGGATACATGTAGTTGGCGACAACTGCCCTTTCTAGTTATAAATAGTATTATTGCCGATATAATTTCCTGTACTGGTAGTGTAAATGCCGTTCAAAGCCTCCTCTGCAACACATGAGTAGGCCTACACCGCATGCACACCACTGTGCAGAAACAACAAGCAAATATAGATAATAGAGTTCTTATATCTGGTATCCTATAGAATACCTCTATACGGTATTCTTGTTGTTTGTGCACAGCAGCGTGCGTGCAGTGTACTCCTGTGTTGCAGAGGAGCATATGAACGGTATTTACAGGAAGTTATCGGCGATAATAGGCGAAGGGGAGTAGAGAACTTTGGTGGTAAATACATTTCGTGTTTATTTACCATCCTTTTACTATTGAAACGTTCCACGTGCCTGGGGTTGTGCGGGTTATATTTAGGTTACGTTACTACTAGGGCAAGATATGACAGCGTCGTATACGTGCGATATTGATTCCCTTAACTATTTTAAACGTTTAGACAAGATTGAATAATGAATGCAATGTTTTTCATTAATTACAGCTTACTTTTGTATTGACATTGACATTGTTGTTTATCATTAATCAAACTCATAACTCCGAATATAACCATAAACACGGTAGCAGCTAGCCCGGCCAGGCTCGTGCATTTACTGCTGTATTAGTACGTACTATGTTCATAAGCTAATTCTAGCTGTATCAGTATATTACATACAGATCTGTCTAATACAAACTTCGGATATTATATATATGATACATAACTTAGCCCTACCCCTGGCTACATACTGTTCAACTTATACTGTTTTATAGCTGTTCAAAAAGAAGATGAATATCCAGAACTGTCATACCTTTCAATTTAATTTTACAGTTTGTACTGTTTACTTGCAGTCGAAAGAAGGTGATGTGATCCAGGCTGTGAAAGATGCCATAGACATTGGTTATCGACACATCGATACAGCATTTGCTTATGGCAACGAGGAAGAAATTGGTATAGCGGTGAAGGCCAAGATAGAGGATGGCACAGTTACTAGAGATCAGTTGTATGTCACATCCAAGGTTTGTTTAATCAATAGCTATATTTTAATTAACTTCACTGACTAATTTAGGTTTTAGTAAAAGGATAGTGTTCTGTCTAACAAATAAATGTTTTCAGGCAAATGACTTGCATTTATGACTTTTATGATATGCATTGTATGGTTTACAGTGACGAGTAGGTTATTAGAAGTGTGTGCAAACTTATTACAATCACTGGTTGTGATTCATTTGTTAACATTTTAGGTTTAGATATCAATTGTATTAAATGTCTGTATCACCTTTGCATTTTCTCATATTATTTATATTATCATATTATCAAGAGTACATAATAGGAGATGAGTATCCTATTATGTACTCTTGATATTATCAATATTATATTATAAATATTATAAAAGAGAATATCAGTTGTTAGTTATATGCTTTTTATCAGAGCTAAATTAGACTATAGCTTCACCTCAAAAACCCTGCATGGCATAACAGTATTGAACTTAACCAAAGTAAAATGAGGCAACTATTTTAATAGAGCGCCTATAAATATCAGTATGTCTTTTATACTTTGTAGCTCTGGAACACCTTTCACAGCACTGCTAAGGTATTTGAAGCAATTGATGTTTCACTGAAGAAGCTTCAGCTAGACTACCTGGACATGTATATGATTCATTGGCCAATGAGCTATGTTGTGAGTACAATAACAGTTTAGTATGAAACTATGCCAGTTCATGCCACTGTGTACATATTATAAATGACTGCTAGATGCCATATCGAACAGGCACTTGAAATTAAAGATCTGTAAATATATAGCCTGCATTGATTTAAGAACGTTGCAAGTAGCATTTTGTTTAATTTATTGGTGTTCAGATTTGCTAGTTCGATATAGAATGACATCATTTCACGAGAAGTATCTGTGTAATGAAACACAGCTCACACACCCATGCATGGTTGCCCACATGCGCACACACACACACGCACAGACACACAGACAGAGACACACGCACGCACGCACGCACGCATTCACGGACACATGCATGGCTGCTTGTGTACATGCTTGTTTACACATCTGCGTGTAAACACGTGCTTGCATCTGTGCTTGAGTGAGTACATGTGGGCATGCATCAATCAGTGCATTTCTTTATATCACATGAGGTTAACAAAGTAACCCTATGAAGACGAATATTTTTACAGTAAGTTAAATAGTGCACCCGCTCTTATACATAACATAAGACATATATTATATATTACATTGACATAATTGCTGCCTGTTCTAGGAAGGGCGTGAAATTTTCCCCAAAGACGAAAATGGCAAATTTATATTTGCCGATGTAGACTACTTGGAGTCATGGAAGGTACTAATGTAGCAGTAAATAAACATATTTAAACAAATGGTTGTAGTGCAGCATTTTCTTGTGTAACACACTAATTAATATAACACTACATACAAACCTTTTTATGGGAAAGGAAGAGAGAATATAAAAGAAATAATGGCACTTGCCTACACGTAAAATATAATCTAATTCCAAATTGTTTGTTCTAAAATTTGTACTCATATGATTAAAATTATTTATTAGTCTAGCAAATTTATTAGTTTAGTATCACTATTTAAAAAAAATGGAATTCATGAAACGTATCGAAATGCAGGTGAAACTCTATTGCAGGTTATGGAGAAATTGGTGCAACAGGGAAAAGTGCACTCACTTGGACTGTCTAATTTTAATAGTGAACAAATTCAGAGAATCATAGACAACTCGACCATAAAGCCCGTCAACGTGCAGGTACTGTGAACGCTCACTGAAATCACAAATTATAAATAACATGATAATATATAATTGACATATTTAAACTGTATTTTCTTTATATAATTCTTCCGATTTTAAATGTAATTTTTAAAATCTGTCCATAATTGTATTCTTTTGTGTTATAGGTTGAATGCAATCCGTATTTAGACCAAAGTCAATTGATGAACTTCTGCAAAGAAAGGGGTATAATACTGACTGCTTACTCACCACTGGCAAATCCTACTGTGCCCTGGTAAGTCAGATACAACTATGCATGCACTTGCCTTTTTTCAGTTTTTTAATATTACCTGATTGTGAGAATAGAGACCATGTAGGTAGAAGGCGTGATACATTAGATTTGTGATTAAGATTAGATTTAGGATTGTGGGATTAAGCTAGGAGGCTAAACACTTTGTTTGATAACACCAGGAGTAGATAATAGGGAAGGAGTGTGACTTCAATAAACAAGGGAAATTCGTTATTTACTAGCCTTATGATACCTACGATTTACTACGCGTAACTCATCCAACTTCAGCTCAAATCGTACACAGTACATTTGCCTAACATCGTGCGAAATCGTTTCCTCGTATACACCCGCAATCCGGAGATACAGACTAAAACGTACGAAACGATTTTCCATTCTGTTGCCAGCAAACTCGGTGCGTTTTGCGCCAAAATTTAAACAAAAGGCAGCTACTAACCACTCTTGCTCACTCGGCGAGGCGATGTGGCTCGCAGGGAGATTGGACATCGACGCAACACTCGGTGAGATAACCTTTGACCCAGCATACAGCTACATACCGGCATACAGCTGGTATGCCCCCCATGCACGCATGCCCACCGCAATCTCCCTGCGAGCCACACCGACTCGCAGAGTGAGCAAGAGTGGTTAGTAGCTGCCTTTTGTTTAAATTTTGGCGCAAAATGCACCGAGTTTGCTGGCAACAGAATGGAAAATCGTGTTGTACGTTTTAGTCTGTATCTCCGGATTGCGGGTGTATACGAGGAAACGATTTCGCACGATGCTAGGCGAATGTACTGTGTCTGATTTGAGCTCAAGTTGGATGAGTTACGCGCAGTAAATCGTAGGTATTATAAGGCTAGTAAATGACAAATTTCCCTTGTTTATTGAAGTCACACTCCTTCCCTATTATCTACTCCTGATAACACGAACAGACTGCAAAATTTTATCTTACATCAAATAGTCTGGGTTAGGCCCAGGACAGATGCACTCAACTTGCAGCGTGCATACACTACATACTCAACTGGGCTACATTAGCACGAGTAGACTGCACATGCTCAGTTTAGCTTATTATGTCACTGAGCCCTACAGCAATCACGGTTAAAAAACGGCATCACCGATGGCATTATTAAGATTTATACTGAGCAGTTGTAATAGTAGAAGAAGAAGAATAGTAACAGGTGTTGGAATAGTAATACACAGCAGAAGCTACTACAACTGGTGTATAATCTAATCTAGGTATCTGATTACAATCCAATTCAACCATTTCATCAACAATGGAAGTATAAACATACAAATTTCTATGTATGTCTTCCCATACCATCCATACATGTGGATAGATTCTTGGGGCCAAATTTTAATCAGACTCTTAACCTGGTTGTTATCCCAGTTACTTCCTCTCTTTGCCATTAAGCTATAAAGCAAGTTGTTTACGCTATATGAGTATACAGTAGTGTCTGAAGATGGAAAACGAAATTGCAGACACAATTACAGATGTTTGTTTGTACTTTTGTATGTCATCCAAAGAAGACTATTCACATGTGTATATCGAAATTTAGCCCACACCTGGATCATATTGCATACAGACGCAATTGTACAACCTAAGTTGGCGCGGGATAACTTAGTACGGGATAACTTAGTACACTTTTGAAGTGGGCCTGGCCCACCTGAATTAGAGGGCTAACCTACTACAGACTAGTGCGTATTTAGCCCTGGACGTCATGCACGAACTGTAAAAATGTAGTTCTGGACTGGCCCATATTAGTTTGACGTAAGGTTAAATTTGCAGTCTGTACGGGGTATTAATGACCCACAATTGTTCTTATTGTTTCTATCATCTTAGGAAGACCTCAGATGATCCCAAGCTCTTGTCAGATGAGAAAATAAAGATTATTGCTGCTAAACATGGCAAGACTGTACCTCAGGTAATCTAGTCAGTTTCTGTTCTTGCTACATGGCTATGGGTGTGTGTTGAGTCTAAGAGTCGGCTGAACGGTTTTAGCATACTCGTGTTTTTTTGTTTTCACAAGTGACACTCCTAAGTGACAGTGTTACTTGTGTTTGCGGCTACTAGCAGTGTCAGAGAATAGCTGGCTGTTTTAAATGTTCTTGGATTAGCGTTTAAAACTGCTGCAATGTTGACTGCTTTCAGGTTTGCATTCGGTGGCAGCTGCAGCGAGGCAACATGGTGATTCCAAAAAGTGTGAAGAGGCAACGATTGGAGGAGAACTTCAATGTACGTTTGCTCAACTGTCGCAATGCATGCCTGATGTAGTTTGGTTGCCATTATGCAGCTTATGTTTATCTGTTGAATCTATTAGGTGTATCGTTTTGGATTTCTGCTTCTGTGCTTCTAATAAAATGATGGAAAACATAAAAACGGCAAAATTATACTTTTATGGGCTACCATACATAGTAGTATTTTGCTTAGGTTTGACCTTGGTGTACAGGTATTTGACTTTGAGCTGACTGAAGAGGACATGAAGACCATCGATGCTCAGAATATGAACTACAGAGCTCTACATCTGAACTGGTAGGGACATTGGCATTGTGGATAGTATTTCATGAAGTAAAGATGATATAGATAACTATACCTGGCTTTTAAAACAGGTTGATAATAACTTAATTGTTTAGGCGGATGCTATCTGGTCTAATCCACTGCCTTTACCATATTGTACGTGAGTTCTTGTATAGCGAAAAGGACAGACTCGCTAACAGACTGTTTTTTTTATACAGGGTGAGTGAGCACAAGTACTGGCCATTCAGAATCCCCTTCTAAGTATCAATAAGCGGTGATGGACACAAACTGGCAGGTGCCAACAGCAACACGGTGTGCATTAAGTGTACATGAAACACGTCCCACTAAAACCTATAGTAGCCTTAGTAATTTATTAAAATGATAGGACACGTGCGGTGATACACATGGCAAAAATCCCTTCAATTGATGTAAGTAGTCATTGTAATGTTCAAGCCATTGTCAAGATTGTCACGTGATATGTATGCGTGCTAGTTTATGAAATCATGTTGAAAATATTACGATTAAATGTCACCCGTTGATGATATAGGGCTACGGTTAACTAGAAAATGTTGACACATTTGTCAGTAATTTTGTCACCAATATATGATGTACACCATATAATATATAAATGCATCAGCTTTTATTAATATAGCTGTATACTCTCAGACGATCATTTTTACATACATGCACATAGCAAGATATGATTACTGCACACATAGGCGCGTAATTATATAAATTCAGTACATTACAGCGTAAAACCAAGTTAGTGAAGTAAAGCCACACTATCTGTGAGATCTAAAAACATTCATCATCAATTCTTTAAAATGACTGCGTTTTTTTCTAACAGTGAACATTAGTTTTGTACATTCACACATTGATCACGCTTCATAAAAAAGTATAAAAAATGGTCTGACTGGCCGCTTAACCTCATGGTTAGACAGTCAGACTTCTATTTTATGCACATAGTAATGTGTTCTGCACGTTATTTACATGAGATGACAGAAAAATTACCTAAATGCCACATTATAATTACATCTATCACGATTGCGAGAGACATCGGTGTACAAAATAAAATGTGAACTCTTTGTATGGTCAGAAACACGGTTGATTACAACTACTTCAAGTTAACGAATTTGATGTTATTTCATATGTCCAACGATTCATAACGTACCGGTAATCGTGTTCATAATAAAAAAGACATGGCACGATTACAACATAGCCTTTCATGTCTACTCCTACTTAATAGTTTGATAACATTCGAGCGGGATAGCTATGTCCAAACTGGACAGCTGGTCAACAGGGTGCTGGTAAACCATTCTCACTAACCTTGCTGTAAAACAGTTGAGATGAGCATCGTTCACCACTAGGTAATTTGTTATAGGGCTATTTAGGATACTGGTATTAAAACCAAAGTGCGCCTGCATACAACATAATATGTCGTGGGAGCCGGCTGCGTTAATATAAGCTTTTGTACATCGTAACGACGTTTGTCAAGTAGTGTTGTTAATGGGTTTAGCTCATATTAGTAACTATGACTTTATTCAGTACCAGCATGAGCATACGCCCGTTTACTAAAGGTAGATGACATAGTAACATGACTATTGTTATGAGATTTATATACAAAGTCGTGCGAAATCACGGTGCTAGAAAACACTTCGTAATTTACGCGTTGTCACGCGACTTACTATTTTATAACTGTCCTATTATCTGCGAGTATTGAGTTCGCGTCCTCACAAGATGTCAAGCATACAAGCATACATAGGTCCATATACGGTATACTCGGACATTACAACGTTACGTTACCTGCTGCTCAAGCATGGTTGATACAGTGGAAACATAGAGAGGGTGGGGATTCTAGCGGTAGTTCACAACTTCAAACTAGACAGGCCGTTACGTTCTGTTATCTAGGACAGCGGTGATTCCACGAACAATAAACAGACAACCCCTCCCCCTCTCTCTCTCTCTCCACTAGTGCAAATCTCAATCAATGTAGGGCCGGCATCGTTTTGTTTCTGTATTGCTGGTATGCTCTTAGCACACCTGCGGCCCTCCACTGTACTACTGTTACGACCCGCCTGAGAAGCTGAAGCCATCGCCGATGCGTCCGCCCCTGCCCGTCGCCGCGTTGGCAAACGGCTCGCGATTCTGCGTTATGAAGTTGGAGTCGCCCTTGCCGACCGTGAGCGGCGTCTCAATGACGAACGCACGCACGACGTAAGCGCACTGCGTCACGCACGCGTCGTCTGCGTTCAGTTCGTCCGACGAGTACTGCGTCAGCAGCTCGTAGCAGTTGCTGATCTTCATCGTGTTGCAGATAGCCTGCGACGAGAAAAACGACGGCGGTTACATGATGTATAGGAGGTGGAGGTTGCTGTTGGATGCGGGAAGGTTGTTACGGACTCGTGGTGAATGGATTTGTGCGTACGTGTTGTAGACACACTTACCGTGTTGCCATTGCTCGGACAGAAGCATGCTTTGCAGGGGCTGATGCGTTGCGTCGTGCCTGCACGCACACGACCACTGCTGCCACCTACACCCGTGCAGAAGGCGCCCTCTCGCCAATGTCTCAAGTTAACACTGTCCAGCGTGTCGCAGGCGATAGGCGCGTTTCTGTAGAGTCAACAGTATTTGTTAAGCATCGCACACCGACTTCAATTATCTATAGACGAATTAATGAATTCATGCAACTGAAGCAGTGTTATTCAAAATCATTATAGTGCTGTCGCGACCACGATAAAAATAACGTGCGTTTCACCTATTATTGCCGACAGTTTCCTGTCAAATCCTGCGTGCAACAATATACGCTGCCGGCGCCATTGCTCTCGCGGCTCCACTGTTGCACGCTTACACTAATATATATAGCATATATATACTATATATACTATATATACTACATACTACTACTGTACTATATCTATAACGACGGCGGTCGTATAGCGGTACGGCTATATCGGTCGTATAGCGGTAGTCGTATCGCCGAACGTCGGCGGTCGTATACGACATACCGCCGTCGTATGTCTACATACTACTGTATATATACTATATATATATAGCACTATATATATGTAAGCACTAATATATATATATTAGTGTAAGCGTGCAACAGTGGAGCCGCGAGAGAAATGTCGCCGGCAGGTTGCACGTAGGATTTGGACGGAATTGACAGGAAACTGTCGGCAATAATAGGTGAAAGAGAGTATAGAAACATTAAGAATTTGGTAGTAAATAGATTTCGTATTTAGTTAGCATTATATTTTATTGAAACGCTTCAAGTGCCTGTGAGTAGAACTATGGCGACATGCGCGCGTACTTACAGCACGTCGTCTGGAAGCGACATGACGTATGGGTGGATGACGGGAATGTTGTCAGAATTCACGCATAGCATCTTTGCAAGTGTCGTCTTACGGATCTCGGTGAGTTGAGCTGCAAGAAGTTAACCCGTAGGCGTTTACACGTACTGCGGTATGCAAGGTGCGTTGCATTGAAAATTGCTTCGCGTTATAACCTCACTCTAGACCACAATCGTTTACACTGAAGGTGTACTTACTGCTGATCTTATAGTGTGTGGCACAGGTGAACCGTACGGTCACTCTGCTCGTTATGGCCCCATACCATAGCTAGTCTGAAATGCACTACTAGTGAGTGTAGTTTCAGCCGAACAGTGTATAGTTATACTAACCTGAAGTGAACCGCGTTACGTGGTCGCCCGTTTCATACCAGAAGCGATCGCACTTGCGCAGACGTTGGAACTGCTCGGCAATAATGCAGGCGAACGTGGGTCCGATCAGCGCCCCCATCATCGGGTCCTCAGCAAGACCACCCGTGAACAGGTCAATGTCATCAACGGTTCTAAGCGTACAGAACACGAGCTATCAGTTTTTGTCTACGGTGGCAGTGCGAAGGAAGGACAATTGTGCTGTGCGTACAAAAACAGGTATGTTTCGTACTGTCGACGTTTTAGCTCGTACAGGCATGATCATCTGTGAGCGTTGTAATTGCAGGTGTACCGGCACACCTCTTAATCCGATATAATAATTACATGGAAACACAACGAAATACAATGACGGTATTTATTAATACTGGTGTTAACGTTTCAGTAAGGTACATATTGTTCATCATGTGCCGAGCCCGTGCGGCAGTTACGCACAGTCATGCATTCGTAAGCAGGCTGGTATACTCACTCATAGGTTCGTGACAGCTTGTTGATGACGTTGCTGTCCGAAATCTCACGGGATAGATCATTAAATGAACGTGCTCTATGCAGACCACAGGACTCTCTGCACACGACAAAAGAATAATGAATAAAAATAGTGAATGTCGGATAGATCATATTAGTTCTCGCATCATGAGTTCATCTGTAGTTGTCATTTAACCTCACCTATAGTTATTAGCTAATTTCCCCTGTAGCTGTCATCTTCTAATATCACTTGTAGTTGTCAGCTAAACTCACCTGTAATTCTCAGGTAATCTCACCTGTATTTGTCAGGTAATCTCACCTGTATTTGTCAGGTAATCTCACCTGTATTTGTCAGCTAATCTCACCTGTAATCGTTGTAGCCGTGTAGGCCGTGGTCGCGTCCTCGCTGTATGTTCATCGCGCCCAGGTCGAGTCCGCTGAATGGCTTCCCGCGCTCTTCGAACAGGTGGTTGGTGATACTCTTCACAAGATGGCGGTCTGCACTCTCGGCAACGACGGTGATCAGGCCACGGATCAGCGAGTCAACGCCGCCATTCGTGTTGTCTCGCAGCACCTGAAGGTAAAAATCGAATATCAGGGGCAGCCACACACGTAGGACGAATTCCGGAAGACATGCGGAATGCTAATATGTTTGTGGATGAGCTTTATCATCCGGTATCCAACAGCCCTCAATACGACGACCGGCTCGCGTGATGGGAGACAAGATGACGGTTTGTGAGCAAGGAGCGAAACAATGCGCTGAAAATTCTTTTTGTGAGAATAACGCTGGTCGAGTTAGCTGTCTGTTCTCGTGAGAAACTCACCTCCGGATTGAAGAAGTTGAATATGAGTCCGACCGGTGCGTACTTCTCGCGGAATACGGTGTTGAAGCGTTTGAAGACATCCTTGATCAGACTGTGACCAAATCGGAATGCGGCCGTCGCGAACTCGTTGGAGATGGTGACGTCGCATGATGGATCGTATCCGTCGTAGAAGCCGGACGATTTCAATGTCAATCCGTATCTGTCCATCGTCGTGACTCCGAGCACGCGTGGCAAGAACTCGTGGTAGGTGATGTGCTGGTGCATCGCTCCGACGATGCGTCGCCCCTCCTGTAAACCAGACACAAGAGAAAAATTACCCACCATCCGGAATCTGTCTCTCTCTCCCTCTCTCTCTCTCTCTCCCCCATCTCTCTCTCTCTCTCTCTCTCTCTCTCT